GAAACATCATTTTAGTTTTTACTGAAGATTTGAAGCAAACTGTGAAACTACATCACTGATTCTGTTGATATTCTATCTTCTTAAATTAATAAAAAAAAAAACAGTTATTTTTACTTATTTGTCATAATGCCAAATACATCATTAAAGTCATCCTCTGCTGTGTCAACAACTCCTACATCCTTCAACCTTTACTATTAATATGGCAACTTTGGTTATAGTTATTAATTTAACTATTAATCAGAGTTGCAAATTAATAGTAAAGTGTATTTTATGAGACTGATATCATCAACTGGCTATCATTTTTCCCCTTCCAGGACTGGTGCCCCACGAGGTGATGTAATGTCAATTATGTCACATAATCTAACATAATTAATCATTATTATTGTTAATAATGATTAATTATCTGATACTGAAATTGGAGGCCTGTTACGAGGTCCGGTCCCAACATGTGGAAATAACACTTGGGACAGTAGGTGCAGTGACGGGAAGTACCCATAGCACCTACAATGCTTGTTTGTCACACACTGTAAATCATCATGTTAAACTAAGTCTTTTCTCTTGAGATTAAAAGACCCTCAAATGTGCAGCTCCATGTCTGAGTCTCTCTTATTATAAATCGTGTTTATGCCACAACAAAATTCTTTAACGTCACCGCAGAAACTTTGATCATGATTTATGTTTTATTTTTTTGATTGACAGGTAAGGTGGCGTTCGTCCAGCTGGCCGACCTCCTGAACATCGAGGTAATCACACTCAAGTCCAGACCACACCCATTCAACAGTGTGTGCCCCGCCCTCTACCAGTCGGCCCCCAGCCGCCTGCTCTGCCGATTGGTCCAACACCGGTGAGACAGACAGACAGACAAGTTGTATCTATACATGATTACTCTGTAGCAACAGGTATCTATAAAGTTATGTTGACAGATGTCGTGAAATATTTGAGATGTTTTATAAAGTGCTCATCTTCTACACATAGCACCAATTTTACCTGGAGACTCAGTGACGGCCGTGAAAGCAGCTCTGTGTATTTAATGCAGTTTGTGTTGTTCACTCGACATCAACTGTCAAACAAACGGAGGTCTGAGGAGCGTCCTGGTTTGAGGAAGAAGTCTGTCAGACAGCCAAAGATGCTGCACCACATTCTTATGTCTCTGCGCTGGTGATAGCTCCGCCCGGCGGCGTCATGTTTTCAGGTTGTCTGTCTCATTCTCATGAATGTCAAATTTGGCACAAACGTTCACTTTGATGCAAGAATGAACTGATTAGATTTTAGTGGTCAAAGGTCAAAGGTCACTGTGATCTGGTCTGTCTCATTCTCTCAAACTCGACTCAAGTTCCTTATTGTTCAGAAACTCTGAGACAGACTCAGGAAACTTCTCTTAGACTGAACAGAAACTTTTAGAGCTGAAATACTTTGTGAACCACTTCGTCCATTTTCAGTCACAGTGAAGTGGAGCTACAGTCCCAGCTGGACGAGGACATCTAACTGGCCTACTGTCCTTGTCCCAGTATACAAGCACGGGAGGGGAATCCATTTATTGAGCCAAGTATGTGCGACTCCTCTACGATAGGTGGAGATATGCCCCCTTTCAGCTTGTTAGTATTGGACCTTTTTCCTGTTGACCTATTACGTCACAGACCAAACAATGGACAAACAAGTTAGCTACGGTTAGCTAGCAGCTAACTGCTACCATGGTGGACAACTTTACAGCTCTGTACATTTGGTCCGTCCAAAAAGTCACGGCTCTGGATGTAGATTTCTCCATGTTGTTACCGGCTTCTTCTTCTCTTACACATTTAATGCTATTGGACTTCCGGGTCAAAGCCCGGGGCGGAAACTGTGGAGCATGCTCAGAGCGCCTCGGCCAGTTTGGGTCTGATTGACTGTATACATGCAGGAGTCACATGATCTGGGTGTGTTAGTCCCACTGTGACACATTCACTGCAGGACCATTTCACTCACACTGACATGTTTACAGGGATTTTAAAAGTCTGTTTTAAGTCGGACTGACACCATAAATCAATATTCTGTGAGTCCAGGAAACATTCTGAGCATCAGAGTCTGAAATGTGACATGAACATTCATTTTCAGAGTTTCTCTAAACCCTCAGAACGTTCAGTGAAAATGAACTATGACCTGCAGAAACACATTGTAAAGGTTGATACAGACACACTGGAGTGCTTCTGTGTATGTGTGTGTGTGTTTCAGGGCCTTTGTGATCGTGTACGACCTCATCATTCTGGTGAACGCCGTGTTCATCGGCCTGGACGAGGAGAATCCGATGATCGCGAACTCTGAGTGGGTCTTCCTGGCTCTCTACCTGCTGGAGATCCTGCTGAAGCTCTACGTCTTCGAGCCCAGAGCGTTCTTCTCCAGACACAATTTCTGGAACTGGTGAGAGAGAGCTGACGCACACCGTCTGCACCCTGACGTCACCTTTACTGTCTGATAGAGATAGGGTTAGGGTCCAAATGAGCAAAGGATTCTGGGTAACACTGCAGTTTTTCTCCAGGCTGCTGGAGATAAAGTTCAGCAAGTGTTAATTTGAATGAAGTGAAGAAGAGATATCACACCTGAAACAGTTTTATTGCCCAGCAGGTTTGCACATCCGAGGAATCTGTCTTTGTGTTTTGGTGCGTAACAATAAACACGAGTCAAAAGACATTATAGAAAATAGTAAAATTAACATGAAGCATGTTTAAAGTTTGATATTCCTCTGTTGCCTCCTCAGGTGTTCACACCTGACACGTGTCTGAACGTCAGAAACTACTCATATTCAACCGTTCACTTCAACGCCTCTACATTGGCAACACAAGTATTATGTTTTTGGGTCCATCTATCCAGTTCTTATGAACGCACTATCTCAAGAACACCTTAAGGAATTTTTTTAATTTGGCACAAATGTCCACTTGGACTTAACAATGAAGTAAATAGTTTTTGGTGGTCAAATGTCACAGGTCAAGGTCAGTGCAACCTTGTTTGTCTTTTTCTCATGAACACAATATCTCAAGAAGGCTTTGAGGGATTTTTTTTCAAATTTGGCACAAACATTCACTTGGACCCAAGAATGAACTGGTCAGATTTTGGTGGTCAAGGGTCAAGATCACCTTGACCTCAAATCCGTCTCATTCTAATGAAATCAATATCTTAAGAACACCTGAGGAAATTTTCTCAAATTTGGCACAAACATCCACACTTAGAGAATGAAATGATCAGATTTTCAGAGTCCAGAGGTCAGTGTGACCTCACTAAGAAAAACATGTTTTTGGCCGTAACTCAAGAATTCTTTTGCTAGTTATGATAAAACTTGACACAAATGTCTAACGGGATAAAATAATGAAGGTCAAAGGTCAGCTTGACTGTGACATCATCATGTTTTAACGTCATATCTCAGGAACAGAAGGGGAGACATTTGGTCAGATACTGAATTGGTGANCATGTTTTAACGTCATATCTCAGGAACAGAAGGGGAGACATTTGGTCAGATACTGAATTGGTGACTCTAATCTTGTGTGTGAAGCAATCATGTTTTTGCAACTTGACAGGTTTGCGGAGGCAAACAACTGTGAAGCAGTCATTCTGTTTTGATTAGTTATTCATTATTTTTTATTTGAAATTAATCAAAGAAATATTGGACTCAAACCATAAAACATGCTTTGTGTTTAAATTATTAACTGGAGAATGTAAACTGCACCAGGTTTTTAAAACCCTAAATTCTCCCAAATAACACAGCGGACGTCACCTCAGCAGCAGTTACCAACAAGTCCTCCAACTCATACAACCACAAAAATTTATTCCCACCTTCTAATACGACCACAGGAAAATTGTATAAATAACGCCTGTACTGGCGGCAGGAGATGAAAACGTCCTTGTAATTGAATGTAACAGTTTTAAAAATGTGGTTAATGTTTGGCTTATTTAGGTCAGGTTCAGGGAAAGATCATGGTTCCTGTGAAAATTTGTAAGTTTGATACGTACTTGTTTGGACGTAGCTCCGTTCCTGTGTCATGTGAAGGGAAAATAATTCCACATTGACTTCACAGAGGACCTTAGCAGCTGTCTCCTGCGTTAAAGTCCGTGTTTGTTTGACCAATCTATCCACCCCAAGCTCCTCCCTACATGGACTTTGTTGCTAATTATACCTGACTTCCTCTTTTGCTCACATCACCATTACTACAAAACGGTTTTAGAACGTCACAGAGAAAAGTGTCAGCAGTGTGATATGTCTGAGCTGGACTCAAGCCGGCTGATGGTGTCACCTGACACTCAGCTGGTCAAATGGCCGGCGGCTGGTTTTAAAGCACGTCACCTGTTTCAACAGCCAATCAGCTTGTAGTGAAGTCCGCTGGTCAAGTCAAAATGACCACAGACGCCCTCACAGTGTGCCGGTGTCGGACGGTGGGTCGCTGCTGCTGCTGCTGGCTGTATGTGCTTAACGGAACGGAAGTACAGAGAGTTGTTGACTAGAGACGATACGCCGTCTCACGGTGGTCACTTCCTGTCAACGTTACAGATCAGAAGCACAGAGAGTTGTTGACTAGAGATGATACGCCGTCTCATGGTGGTCACTTCCTGTCAGCGTTACAGATCAGAAGTACAGTAAATGTAAATATTGATCATAACAAGCTGCAGAATTGTCCGGTGTAGTCGTACTTTGGAGGAGGACAGTTTCGTAGTTGCACTCAAAGACGAATTGAAAATTCTTGTCAGATTCACCGGTAGAAACAGTTTTGATAACTTTGTTCATCACATCCTGCTAAACTGATCTAAACTTTAACTTAGGAGCAGTTTATTTTACAGCGACGCGGTTCGTTGATTTACTGAGCTGTTGTAAACTTATGTTGAACAGTTATATATATACGTCCTCATGGACATTTCTGAAGTTATAATTACCTGATGTTGGGTCAAGGCAGGGAATGTGAATGATTTCAGCTTATCCTCAAACAATGGATTGTTTGATATCCTTTGAATTAGGAATGACATCACAGCTTTAACATAAAGTTACAGAGGTTAGGTCTAGGAAAATAAACATGGTGAGGACGTCCCGCAAAATGACTCAAAGTTCACACGGTTCCAAAAACCGGTCTCTTCAGGAGCGTCCATCCACCATCTCAACTGGTCTCCTACCTGGACTAATTCCTCCTTTACTCCCATCAGCACACTGGTCACGTGGCTGCAGCCTTCCAGAATTCATGGGTTGTGTATGAATGACTGGCTGAACATTACCTGGGACACGTACGAATTTTGGTTTAGTTTATGAGAACGGCCTGATGATTCAGTACAAAATAACAAGATTACATATTTCAATATTTGTCTGAAAGTGTTTGTGTTTGAAAGTCGATGAGTGTTTTGCAGAATGTCCTCCGATATGGGAGGAAACATTTGCTGATGAAACTCATAATGAAAACATTTCCAGATGTAAAATCAATGAGCTGTGTCACGTCCATTTCACACAGCTTATCTTCATCGCAGGTAATAAGTATGAGGTATGTAACATGTTTCAGTTCCATCATCTGCTGCTTCCTCAGCCTGTCAGCGCTTGGACCAGCTCACTGACGCTTCAGGCGGCAGTTTTATCCAGCTGCTGTTTTTAGTTTTGTATCATGATGGAGTAAAACAGCTTCTGAACTGTGGAGCCGGTTTAGGGCCAAAAAGTCTGAAAGGAAAAAGACAAACAGAAAAACATGAAAATGGTGAAAGACGAAAACCAAAGTTGTGAGCCAGACTAACTGCAGGTCACCGACAGGACGTCAGCCTGCTGCTCATGGTGTCAGTTTTTCTTTCAGACTTTTTACACACAGCGGCCACTTTATTAGGTACACCTACACAATCCAATGCAATCCAGTGAAACAGTTCTGCCATATCATCTGTCTTTACAATGTTTATAATGTTCAGTTTTGTTTTGTTGACTTTGTCGTAATCCAAGCGACGGCCCTCAAAAAATGAAGCCAATGCTAAAGCGCCAAAAACTGCAAATGTAACATATCTGTGTAAGTGTGTGGGTGCTCTGTGTTAACATAGCAATACTTATGTGTTTTAAAGGAAATCGTTTCAGTAGGGCTGGGCGATATGGACAAAAATTCATATCTGAGTATTTTCTGTGAATGAGCTCCATGTTGAGCTGCAGGACAGAGCCACATTTGAGATGCCAATATCACTTTTATAAAAACAGACTGTGATCATAATAAAATACAAAGACAGAGATTTTTCCCTGTTAGAAAACAAACAGCTGCACAACATGTCAGTGAAATATGATCTCAAACAAACAGCAGGGCTGTACGTTCACTCTGTGCACACAGCACTGGAGCTACAGAGGTTTAAAGGTTTGCAGCTTCAGGACACTGAACTGTAACATGACTGTAAAAGTGTCAGGTAGGTTTGAAACAGTTCAAAATATTTGTGGGCAGAGTTAAAAAAGTCTGTCTGCCTTTCAAATGAATCTAGTGCTGGAAAACAACTTCCATATTTGAATCTTATTTCTGCACAGAGCATCAACAGAGAGGCCGAGGGAGGGACGGAGACAGAGACACTCTGTCCTCCTTATATACGTCTTGTAAATGAAACGTCTGTGTTGTCGCTGCATTTTTAAATCCCATCTGTCTCCTGCGTCCAAGCGCCGTCTCAGTGTCACACAGTAGACTACAATAAACCAAGAAGAACAGCGATGATCTACCTCACACACAAACTAGCAGCGCATCACTGTACTGCACGTGTGCTGCTGCGCTCATTTCATTCATGTCACAGACTGATGTAGCGCAGCACGTGCAGCGTACAGACCGATGTCTCACTGTAGACTAAAGACCAGACAGATTAAACAGAGGAGCAGCTCTGTGTCTCTGGAGTGTTAATGGAGAACTTGTGAATGAGTGAGTGAGTGAGTGAGTGAGTGAGGGGACGGAGCTGTGTGAGAGAGGAGAGATGAACATGGCGTCATCATGTGATGCAACTTGACCCTTTATCGATATAAATGTTTTCTAAATTCATATCTTGCCTGAAAATAAATCGATATATCGTACATAGTGGTTACATTAAGGTGAACCTGTCACTGTTTAAGTTAATTGTAGCGTTTTGGTCGTCTATAAAAGTCTAATTTAGCGTTTGGTTGAACTCAAAGATCCTCCTGGGAGTCGGATGTTCAGGTTTTCTGGTAAAGTCCATTGTGTTTTAATGGCTCTAAGCCTGTTTTTTGTTTTTTTGGCATTTTTTTTTCTTTTGCTGGTGGAAATTCCTCCGCTGCCCCCATTTTGTGTTCATACCTGTAACACAGAACAGCAAGACAGCATGACAGAGTGACATTCCTGCCTTAAACGTGCAGTGTAAAAGAGGCTGAATTCACTTTGTCACATTCAGCGCAGATCTCCTCGCAGGCTAGTGGTTGTCGGTTCGGTGCGTGTGCCGCTCACACACAGCTCTGCTCTGTAAACAGGAAACAAACGAAGCGGCTGCAGCGGAGTCCGACGTCACTCTGCTGGCTGCGCTCCTTCTTCTTCAGAACATAAATAACATCAGAGATATCAGCAGAGCTTCTGAAGGAGGGCTAACACGACTGGTGCATTTTTTGGGGTGCTGAGTTCAAAAATCAACAGTCCTTCTCCAGAATCACAGACTCGTCCTTTAGCTCCTCTAAAACACTGTCAACACAAACTGAACATTATAAGCTTCATAACTTCATGGCAGAACGTTGTACTGTGGTAGACTGTACAGGTGTACCTAATAAAGAGGACACTGTGTTAAACTCTGAGCCATCTGAACTCTTCTGCAGCAGCGTTTGATGTTTTCTTTGTTTTCAGTTGCACTTATGCGCCCCCTGCTGGTGAGCCGTGCAGCTGCAGTGACTTCAGTCAGAGACATTTGGATGTTTCATGGATGTATCATAAGAACTGGACACAGAGTCAAAGATGGCGCCCTCTTACTTTATATGTCAGTTTCAGCTGCTTATACGATCACATTTACAGTTCTGCCGACATTTTTTTTCCTATTATTCAGCAGTAAAGATAATTTAGCAAAATAGAATAAATAATAATAATAATAATGATAATTAAAGGCAGCCTCAATGAAAATTGCTCGCTGAGCGCACAAACACCTTTTCCTAACTGTACATGATGTAAATGAGCAAACATCAGATTGTTTCAGTTTTTATGCCTCCGCACCAGAGGTAGCCGAGGCATTATGTTTTCGGGTTGTCAGTCTGTCCGTCCCATTCTTGTGAACATGATATCTCAAACGCCACAAGGGAATTTCCTCAAATTTGGCACAAACGTTCACCTGGACTGAAGAAAAAACTGATTAGAATTTGGTGGTTGAAGGTCAAAGGTCAGTGTGACCTCACAAAAAATGTTTTTGGCCATAACTCCGGAATTCACAGAATTCATAACTAATTATGGCAAAATCTCATGCAAATGTCTAACAGGATAAAATAATGAAGGTCAAAGGTCATCTTGACTGTGACATCACCATGTTTTAACGTCATATCTCAGGAACAGAAGGGGAGACATTTGGTCAGATACTGAATTGGTGACTCTAATCTTGAAACTGTGCTGATTGTATAGATCTTCTGTGTGTGAAGCGTCCATGTTTTCACTGACATGGATGGAGACTGTCAGAGACACTGGACTGGTGGGCGGAGTCATACAACCACAGGGTGGACTGGTGGGCGGAGTCATACAACCACAGGGTGGACTGGTGGGCGGAGTCATACAACCACAGGGTGGACTGGTGGGCCGCCTATGTTTCTCCCGCTCAGCCCAGACGTCAGGCAATGTGAAAAATCACTCGTTCAGACCCTCTCAAAGTTTGAGTGACCACTAGCACAAACTGACAGTGAGGGCGCCACATCAGATCTCTGAATACATCCATGACACGCTTCTGTTGTTCAACACGGTGATGATGTCATACTGGCGTCAAACAGGATGAAGAACCTTCAGCTTCGTTTAAAGCTAACGCCGGTTTTGCTTTCAGCAGCGTCACTGTTGAAGAAAAGTTTTCAGGCTCAACTTGTTTGTTTTCTAACTTTTGTTGTGTGTTTTCAGGTTTGACACCATCATCGTCGTCTCCGCTCTGATCGCCACCATCATCAACTCGGCCATGTCGTCATGTGAGTGTGTTTCCTTTGAATTACAGACGGGTCAGCTTTAGTGTGTCGCTATCAGTGCTGAGACCACTGCTCGTTATTGATTCTAATAATCAGCCAATAATTAATCAGATGAATCCACCGTCCATGTGTCAGATTCTCTCTTTTAAATCCCAGTGAACTGAGTGTTTTTGTCACCTTGTGGACTCCAGGATCAACTGATAACAGCATGAATAAAAACCCACAGTAACTTTTACAGTTTACAGGCAGACGTCAGGGTGCTCAGCACCAGTCACAGGACGTCGAACCAACACGATTCAAACACTGTGACAGTTGTTCGCTCCAACATGTTCACAGTCCAGAAACAAACTGACATCCCACTGGCTGATTTTAAACGTTAGACTTCATATCTGACGTCTCTGATGCTTCTGCTTTTCCTTCTCTCTGCTGTACCCTGATGTCAGTGACATTACCTGATTAAATAAAGCTTCATGTATATTTACAGCTCCACTGTGCAGGATTTACTGGCAGATATGGAACATAATAGAATCAGTGTGTTTTCTGTCGTGTGTAATCAGCTGAAAATAAGAATCGTTGTTTTTTACCTTGGAATGAGACTTTTATATCTATATAGTGAGCAGGTCCTCATTTAAAGACTTTAAGGAGAATCCACACTGAATGTTTGCGTACGTACAAATGAGAAAATGCACATATGCCAAAAAATATTCAGATTTATAAAACATGCATACGCCTTCCTTTAATAAAACCCAAATAAACCTCCGGCCTCATATCCCGCCCTCTACACGCCCACATTCAGCCATCAGTGGTCAGTGCAAAGCTCCTGGTTAATGCTGATGCACAGACATGAGCCGGCTGATCAGTGGTTCTTTATGGTGAATCGTAGAGAGGAAAACCAAGAAAATGAATATTTCTGATGCAGAAGTCGAGGTGCTGGAGGTCAGAAAGCACAGAGCCTGTTGTGTGGTGGGCAGCAGGGTCACAAACTAAAGAAAGGCAGTGAGTGGAAACATGTCGCTGCTGCTTTTAATGCAGTCAGTTCATCAAACAGGACAGTACCTGACATCAAACATCTTTGCTAATTTACACAGTCCATATGTGCAGGTGCTGAAGATGTGCCGGGTGAGAAGCGGAGTGCCGCAGTGTCTCCTCACAACAGTCTCGTGTTTCCTGCTGCGGCCATTTTACACACAAAAACTAAAAATGATACTTGGTGATATGTGCACAGTGTCAGAGAGATTATTGAAAACTGTTGACACTGTGTACTGCCACTATTGTGTATGTATGTATGTACACACACATATATATATATATATTTATATTGTGCTACATTGCACTTTTTAAATTGATTGTTTTATTTTATGTTGCTATTTATGTTCTCAGGTGTCTCTTGAAAATGAGATCTCCATCTCAACGGGACTTACCTGATTAAAAAGGTTTATATATTATTTAACTGCTGTTTGATGTTATCTTGGATTCCTACGACAGACGACGTTAACATCATCACTTAGCCTGGTTAACGTGGTCGAGGTGAAAATGACTCAGTATATTCACGCTAGAAACCAAGATGGTGACGGCTGATGTGCCGAACTCAAGGCTTCAAAACTGTCCACACACTGATGGGTGATGTCAGGGTAGCTACATCCACCTTCTTTCTGTGTGAGACATGAGCGTGTGCAGGCTGTGGGGACAGACACAATAAAGACCATCTGTCTTTCTGAATAACTGTCCCCGTCCTGTTGCAGCGGGGAATTACACCAGCCGTCAGATCCTGGACATCGTCTTCATCCTGCGAGTCCTCCGACTGATCCGGGTGGTGGACAGCATCAAAAGGTTTGAGATTTAGCTGCACTCTGACTGACTGAGACATGGTGGTCCTTCTGTATCAGGTAACCATGGGAATGACTGGACGCCTGAGATGAGACGGAGGACATTTTTTGACACTGGCCTCCTTTTAGGCAGCAGGACACCTCGTTACGTACCATCACTCTCCCATCTGTCTTGATAGCACAGTATTTCTGGGTAGTTTTGTTTAATGTCTGAATGTGTTGCTTCACTCACGATGAGCACTTTACTCCCTGTCAGGTTTCGTGCAATCATCAACACCCTCATCAGGATCGGACCGGCCATCCTCACATTTGGACAGCTGATCATTGTAAGTTGCTGGTAGCAGGTTGAAATGTGTTGAAATGTGTACTGCCTGTGCAGCGGGCCAGAGGGTGGCAGGTGACGTCATGCAAACTCAGTTTGACATGATGACAACCGGCTGCTAAAAAACGATCTCGTATTACAGTTAAACCAGGCGCTGAAATATGTTTCTGAAAACATCTGAGGAGAGAAACAGGCAACTCAGTAACACAGTCTTGGTTTATATTTGATCAGTGCTGCTTAGTTTTACTGTTTGATCTTCGTTTTCACTGTGCAGGAAACAGTATGCCGTCCACTTCCTGTTCACAAACTCTCGCTATTACAGCTGAACGGAGCACTGACACATGTTTCGGAAAACATTTTAGATGAGAAGTAGGCAGCGCAGTGACGTAATCTTTTTTTATACTCGATCAGCAGGGCTTCTTTAAGGTTTGGTCAGAGTTTGATCTGAGTTTGAGAGAGAGTGGGGGGGGGGGGGGGGGGGGGGGGGGGGGGGGGGGGGGGGGGGGGGGGGGGGGGGGGGGGGGGGGGGGGGGGGTTGCCCTTGATCCACTTCTGTACTCGTTCTGTCTGCAGTGGCAGCATGGGTGGCAAGCAATATGAAAATGCAGAAATCCAGCCTGTAGTTTGAGCAACAATCTGACAGCCAGTGAAACGCTGCTGGATCGAGCGACGTTTTGCTGCGAGGGACGTAGGGAGATCCAGGCGCTGGTTTATCAAAGTTCATTTACACTTACTGCCCACATTACGATGACACCAAACTGGTTGAAAATCCGTGAAGTTCCCCTTTAAAATGTTGACCTGCTGATGGCGCGAGATGGAAAGTCAGAGGATCACCAAAGTTATGACAGTTCATGTTGAGGGGAACACGAAGGATGAACCACAGTTCATCACAATCCATCCAACAGTTGCTGAGATGTTTCAGTCTGAGCCAAAGTGGTGGACTGACAAACTGCCATAGAGCCTCGTTGCTAACGTGGCTGGAGGTCAGATTTAGGGAGAAGGGGGAAGAAAAAACGGAGGAGAACGGTATGGCTGTATTTGTGACCTGTGTTCAGAGACCGCACTAAACGTTATGAACAGAACCCAGTACGTTGTTGGACTCATTCATTCATGCACACACACCCACGTCGCTTACATTAACATCCTGCCAGGAAACCTGGCTCTGACCAGATCACCCTTCTCTTCCTCAGGTGGTGTACTACATCTTTGCCATGGTGGGGATGGAGGTGTTCAAAGACAAGGTGAAGTTTTATGAGGACTCCAGCGACCCGGCGAAGGCGTACTGTGGAAACATTAAGCTGAAAGATTCGGCCTTCGCACAACTCAACTACTGCAAGAACAACTTCAACAACGTGGTGTCGTCCTTCATCCTGCTGGTGGAGCTCACCGTCGTCAACCAGTGGCACGATATCCTTCACCTGAACCTGAACGCCTCACCGTAGTGTCTTACTGGTGACGGCGCTGCCATGTTCACAGGGTTTGATGGTGATTTCTCAAGCTCTGATGGAGGCTGGTCTCTGTTGTGACGAGTCATAATTCCAAAGTCCAAATGATCCAAAAAATGTCTCCTTGGCCTGAAAAGCCATTATCATGAAATATGCTATACACTCTCCCAGACAGAAGCACATGGGTTATTATTCTGCACTGTGATGTCACTGGACATTTCTACCATGACGAAGGCATGTCCCGCCCACTCTTCCTCTGATTGGCTGATACTGGTTGCCTTCGTTGGTTTGGTTGGTTTGGTTGCTTAGGTTTAGGCATGAAGAGTGACGTTAGTGAATGTTTGGGTTAGAATAACAGGGTGAAGGCCTCTGCACACTGAGTCCATTTTGTTTTTGGGTTGTGTTTTTTTAAAAACTAAAAAATAAAATCGTGGTGCGTTTATTGTTCTGTTTGTTACGACAATTCTCAATACGAGACAAAATGAAAAGTAACATTTCCTCTCCTGCGTCTCTTATCTTTCTGGCTGTTGGCACTCTCTCCCATGTCTTGCGTTTGGCACGTGGCTAAAGGGGCGGAGCTGCGGTCCACATCCTCCTCATCGTCATCATCATCCATCTGAACATCACTATATCTGACCTGTTCAGTAGTTATCTGAGTCGATATCTCGAGAAGGCTGCGAGGGTGTTGCCTCAAGTTTGGCAACAACGTGCACTTGAACTAAATGATGAACTAATTAGATTTTGATGGTCATAGGTCAAGGTCACTGTGACTTCATCTGTGTCATTCTCATGAACGTGATATCTTAAAAAATGCGTTGAGGTTATGTCCTCAAATTTGGCACAAACGTCCACTTCGACTCAAGAATGAACTGATTAGAGTTTGGTTGTCAAAGTCAAAGGTCAAGCTCACTGTGACCTCAGGAAACATGTTTCTGGCCAAAACTCACACAGAAAATTTCACACAAATGTCAGACAGGATAAAATGATGACGTTTTATATTCAAGAGTTCAAAGAGTTCATCACTTTAAAGGTGGAGCTCATTTTAGTAACTTTATATACTGCTGGGTAGATCAATCTTTATTATTGATTATATTTGTGTTATTAATCTGAATGTGTAAAGGAAGTAAAGCTGGCAGATAAAGGACGTACAGCACAAGAACAGAGTTTCAGAAAATCTCTCAGATATCCTGATGGCGATTAATAATCATCTCTTTGGATCTTTAATTCTGTGATTCCTTGACTCGACATCACTGCTCAGCACCGGCTTCGCCACCGTCACCCACATGTCAGCCAGGATCTTCTTCGTCCTCTTCCACATCATTGTGGTCATCATCATCATCAAGTAAGTCTAAGAAGGAGGAGGAGGAGGGACGTGAGAACTGGTGTATGTAGTTATTGTAGTCTGTGGATCAGTCCCCTACTCCTCGTCTTCATCACTTAGCAAAATGTGAACACGTGGACATGAAAGACATATTTTAAGTTTCGGTGTTACGCTTCCTGAATAAACGTCCATAAATCCACTTAGAAATCACAGAGAATAAGAGTCAGCAGAAGTTCCCTGAGAATCCTCAGCTTTTGAAGTTTCTGCACAGCCGTGGGTACACGAGTGCAAACGAGCTGCACCCTGTGAATCCAGCCAATTTACCAAAATGTGAAATGTGAACTTCCTGTGTTGTGTTTCAGCATCTTTGTGGCGTTCGTCCTGGAGGCGTTCTTCGTGGAGTACTCGGTGGAGAAGAGAGACCTACAGACGTCTCTGGAGAGGAAGATCGAGGAGCTGGAGTTGGCTGTGGCTCAGTACGTTACCATGACAGAAGCTTACAGATTGTTAAGTCTCAGATTTCAGAGCGTCTGTGAATGCATCACTTTTGAAAGCAGTCTCTGCTCACAGCTGCGTCATCACACTGATGAAGTAACGTCCTAAATGTTGACTGTGAGGGGCATTTAAGTGTTTTAGGAAATCTAAACCCTGATGGAAGATTTGCAAACAGGATGAACCGGCTCAAACATAACAAATCACCAGTTTGGTCCTTTAAAGGGCCTCAACATGTTTATTGTTTATGGAGCTCAGTTAAACATCGTCCTTTTGTTTTGTCCACCAGGGAGAAGTTGGAGGATAACTTGGTGAACGCCATGGAAACCATCGACAACGACCAGGGAACCGGCCAATCAGCGAACAACAGACCCAACCTGATGTTTAAAATTGCTTCAAAAAGTAAGAAACAGTCGAACCTGCAGGCAGCAGTTAACACTGAGTACACGTGGAGAAAAGACAAGATGGTTTAAAAGACAAGACAATGAGTAGTAGTAGTAGATGCTTTTATTTTGAAAGGACAGATTCATTTGGATCTGCAGATTAAAGAACCAGAGTGACACAAACATTTTACAACTCCTGTCTTAGATGAAAGACATTTAAAGGATAACTAGAATTACCGTCCCGCGGTCGTATAGAAGGTCAGGCAGGTTGGTTTCTGTTGTAGTTTAAGATAAAATTATTTATCGTTAGTGAGAAAAAAAACAAGGCTAACGTTTGTTTATATTTACTCTGTAAGGCTAACGTGCCGTCCTGCAGTAACTAACGTAACTTTCTACAGTAAAGAGAGACGAACATTAGTTCAGCACCACAGTCTGTATTCAGTAAGAAATACAAATGACTTTACTGCTCCTCATCAGGGGACACACGGCCAGCAGTGCTGACTCACTTTTTCATGGAGACCAGAGGCCTCATTCATTCGTTCATTTCTGTAACCACTTATCCTGTTAGGGGTCGTGGGGGGTGGAGCCTATCCCAGCTGACACTGGGTGAGAGGCAGGGTTCACCCTGGACAGGTCACCAGACTATCACAGGGCTGACACATAGAGACAGACAACCATTCACACTCACATTCACACCTACGGACAATTTAGAGTCACCAGTTAACCTGCATGTCTTTGGACTGAAACCATTTTGTTCTCAAGTTGTACGCACATACATCCGTACATCCGTCCCATTCTTGTGAACGTGATGTCTCAAGTACATCCTGAGGGAATTTCTTTAAATTTGGCACAAATGTTCATTTGGACTCAAGAATGAACTGATTAGATTTTGGTGGTCATAGGTCAAAGGTCACTCTGACCTTGTCTGTCTCATTCTCGTGAACGTTATATATTTTAAGAAAGATTTGAGGGAATTTCTTTAAATTTGGCACAAATGTCCACTTAGACGCCATAATGAGCTCATTACATGTTGGGTGGTCAAAGATCAAAGATCACTGGCACCTCGCAAAACATGTTTGTAGCCATAACGAAGAATTCTTAAAGTAATTGTGACCAAACTTGACACAAACGTCTAACAGGATAAAATAATGAAGGTCAAAAGGTCAAAGGTCAGCTTGACTGTGACATCATCATGTTTTAACGTCATATCTCAGGAACAGAAGGGGAGACATTTGGTCAGATACTGAATTGGTGACTCTAATCTTGAAACTGTGCTGATTGTATAGATCTTCTGTGTGTGAAGCGTCCATGTTTTCACTGACACTTTGCGTTCAAAGAGACGTACAACCACGAGGCGGTAAATCTAGTTCTCTTTGTTAAGGTTGTCCAACCTGGCAACAGTAACTAAAGGGGGCGGGACTTAGGATCGGTCAACTGTGAATCGCTGCATCAGTGAGAGGTCCTTGAGCATACAGTCAGATATGTGCACACAAGGTCTGAGGCTGATCGGTCCAGTAGTTTGGGAGATTAGCTGCCGACAGACACAACAAAACGTATGATGCCCTGCAGGATTACACCTGGCAGAGATGACAGTAATATATATAAATATGATCATTTTCTGTCATGTGTGGCGCCCCCTGTTGCTTGTGGTTGCTAGCTTAAATGTCTTCTGGGATTTCTAAGTCTGTGTTTGAATAGAAACTAACCTGAAAATGTGCTCTGCTCCTGATCCTTCGATCACAGTATTGATTATCAGCATTGGTGATGTTTTCCGGTGATTGTCTCCTGTCAGGATATCGGACGGTGGACGCTCTGCTGCAGCGGATGTTCGAGGCCGATCTCGACCCCGAGGACTTTGCTGAGAACGACAACGAGACCAACGGGAACTTTGAGAACCCGGCGTTTGGATCTGTGTAGACATTAATGTACAAAACCATATGAAGGGAACCAGCTTCTATCATTCCTCTACAGTTTTATACTCATCTCACATGTTTAAATCTGATGTTTATCCAGTGTTATATTTTTATATTTCGGTCCTGTAGCTGTGTGTAGAAACACATAAAGAATATTGACACCGTTTGTGTTTTATTTATTTCTGACCTCTTTTTGACAAAAACAAGTAAAGATGTTTATGTTTACAGAACAGGAGTTTCACAGTGAACACAGGCAGCAGAACAACATCAGGAAGCATGATGATATATTTCAGCATAAAAAATAAACTTCTGCTGAAGCTTCTAGGTGACTACTCTGTCAGCGAGTCCTACTCCACCTATTTAGACTCCACCGTAGACAACGGCAGCATTTCTCCGACCACGTAGCGAGCCACAAGCTCCGTGGCTTCTTTCAGACTGATAGGTTTAACGTTATCACCGTTATTAGAACCAAACGACAGCCATTGCTGTTTCGGAGCTGAAGGACCAGCGTTCTAAAAGTAACGCAAGTAACTGATGTCTTGTTTGAAAATGTACTCAAGTGTTTGATTACTCAAACAGCAAACTAACGCGTTAGGTTACTTGTTACTGCAAAAAGTAATCAAAGTACTCTAAGTACTCTACACGTTATATCCAACTCTGATCCCTGATCTGATCCTGAACCACCTCAACTGGCCCCTTTTGTTGTGAAGGAGCAGCGGCTCTACTCTGAGCTCCCTCCACATGTCTGAGACTTTATACAGACAGCTTTCATTTCAGTTGGTCTTTAACAGTCTGCCGTTGGCCCCACTAGCACCATGCGCTTGTGTAAACCGTGACTGTAAATGGTAACGAGCGGGGGATGGCGGACAGAGCAGATTGACGTGGCTTTCTACATGCTGAGCAGGTGTATTGATTAAGTATTGGCTCTTACTTTCAGCACTCACTCCTCAGTTGCTCTTCCTGAGCTTTCTACCATTGTCCTTTGGACCCTCACAGCTGATCAGGAAAAACTCCCCAAAAAACCCTTTAACGGGGAAAAACAGAGGGTCGTATGCTGTAAAGCCCTGTGAGGCAAACTGTGACTTGTGCTATTGGGCTTTATAAATAAAATTGATTGATTGATTGATTAACAAGCGTAGTTGTCGTCAGCTAGAATAATCTTGAAGTTATATTCATCTGCACTGCCGCCTCTCTGCTGCTGTCTGACTTCACTCTGTCGTGTGTGTGAGTGAGTGAAATTGTGATGCAGAGTATGCCATACACAAGATGTCGTTTGGGCACAGATGAATAAATCCAGCTTTACGTTTGGTTCTAAGGAACCAGAGCTTTTCACTGCTGCAGCGCTCTGTGGAAAAATTCCACAGTTATCCTTTAATGTTGATTTCATTTTAATTTTAGAATTTTTAATAGTGAGGAGACTAAAAAGGGTGTGATGGGAGTGTGTGTACTTCTGAAATAATGTTATTAATATTGTACTGATAAAAAAAAGGAAGGAAATCTGTAGAGTGCTGCAGAGCAGTGCTGGTAAACTGGTAATGTAAGAAAATCAAACAAATCTTTAAAAATTAAAATGAAAGCAAAGACAAAGGCCTCAATGGAACTTAACGAGATAAAAATGAGAATAGTTTATTGAGGAGGTACAAAAAGTTCATGTACTCAGAGGAAATCTAAAGACGTAGACGAGAAGTAAAAGAAATGAATAATAATAAAATGACAAACTGAAGTGATGAATCAGCTGAGTCTCATTAAAGGAATAATTCATCTGGGTTGAAGAAGAAGAATTGATGAACGTGAGCTCAGTTATTATTAACTACGGAACCAGTGTCTCCCCCTGCTGGAGGTCACGTGTCACTGCAGCTGTGGGAGGAGCAGGGTGTCCTCCTTCACGTCCTCAGACTGACTCCTTCATCAGCAGGGTCACTTGACAGAGAACACACTGGAGACACCAGGCCGATGAAGATCATGTGAGGTGGTCGAAAGCTCCAGAAACAAGCTCGGTGAGTAAATACTGTAACTACATGAAGCTCAGAATACTCGAGTACTTTTACTGCTGATACTTTTACATGATTAAACAGACTCCAGGTCAGCAGGAGGCGCTGTGGAGCAGCTGCAGCGTTAACACGGATTGACTGAGGAAGTGTGTGTGTGTGTGTGTGTGTGTGTGTGTGTGTGTGTGTGTGTGGTGCTGATGCTGGAGAGAAGATGGAGCAGAGGAGGAGGAGTAGGAGCATCCTGCTCGGCTCCGGACAGAAAACAACATTCAGGTAAGAAAACAAACAAACAAACATCAGAAGCGGATCAATCAGCTGATCGAAGCGGTCATCGAACAGGAAACTGAAGTGACGTGATGCTGAGGGCTCGGTGCGTCGCTGTGTGTGTGTGTGTGTGTGTGTGTGTGTGTGTGTTGGTGTGCGCGTGTGTGCGCGCGAGGCCACAGGCAGGATGTCGGATCAGTAGAATCTCACCAGGAAACGATCGATCAGATTTATTGTGTTTGATCAGAAAACAAATCGTGTCGCTGCTCCGGTGGATCGGCTCAGCTGTCCGGAGGCTGACAGCCGCGGAGCAACGTTAGAACAACGTTAGAAAAGGCCCGACGGGAAATGGAGGGGAGGATGAGACGTTCAGGTGCTGGTTTGAGGGTGGGACTGAACACCGCCGCTAGTCTGATCATAAAGAAAGGAAGGTGCTCACAGCGTCCGCTCGGTATTTTCAAAATAAAACCAGTACTCTGATGCAATAAAACATAGAATCTAATATGTAAAAACTTAAGAATATGTTATACAAAAATCAAGATGTGATAAAAACCTGCTGGTGGTTTGTTTACAGTGGAGGAATGAGTTGAAGTCCCCTGAAAATAATTACTGTGATATACAACAAATGATTAAAATCAAGTTTATATAAAAACAAATAATTTTTAAATTAAAGCTGCTCTTACCTTTCTGATGATACGTGAGTGGTTACGTCAGTCAGAGGCCTCCACGTGGGGAGGACAGACAGGACGCTCGGCCAATCATTGCATTCAGTCCAAATGCAGTGATTGGTCAGAGTTTTCTTAGAACCATATGAGAATAGTATAATTATGAGTTTTTATCTCTGGTGGAATTCACTTACATTTTAGTGTGCTATCAGCTTATTAATAGCATTTTAACCAAAACAAAGAAAAGCGTAACATTTCCAGAAACGTAAGTGTTGCTTTAAAACAAAGGGCTGGTTAAAAAAATAAAGTGCTCTTGGTTATTTTTAAGGGTGGCAGTGTATTTTAAAATCTCTTAAAAATGCATAGTATTATGAAATATAACAAAAACAATTTTAGAAACAAACAACATATTAGAAGATTAATTTTAAAATAATTCATGTGGTGTGAAAACAAGCTGTTGGTTTCTTCGCAGTATATCTTGAAATTTTGTAAAATGTATACAATACAGTAATATACAATAAAATATAATTATATTCTGAAGATAGAAAATATCAAGATAGTATAAAAAAACTTGTGTGTTTTTGTTGTGTAAATACAATTTATAAAAAATATATATAAAATGCTTTATAAAAAGATAATTCAGAAAGTCTTGAAGTAAATACAGTAACATTACTATGATGTGCAGCAAAATATAGAATCAAATATAATTTAAAAAACACTAAAATTTAAAAAAAATAATAATAATAAATCAAGGTGGTGTCACAACATGCTGGTGCTCTGTTTACAGTGGAGATATACTTAAACCCCCATGAAATAAATACAACAATATACAAGAAAATACAGAGTCAAATATATAAAATTTAAAATAAAATTAAGGTTGTAGAACAACGTGGTGGTAGTTTGTCTACAGTGGAAGATTATTTAAAAACTGCTTGAAATAAATGAAATCAACCAAAATGAAAGTAACTACATTGTGAAGGTAAAATATTTGTTGCATTCACAATAAAAGTAAACAGGCACTTACAATAACAAAAAAATAATGTGGAAGTAACATTAGACAACTTTTCATCTAGCTAGCGCATTAGCTAGCTAACGCTGCCTTTTTATTAACCCTTTAATCAGTACAGAATATATAGAGTGCTGAAGTCACGCCCCTTCCGGTGAAGCTCATGGGATCTTAGATCGGAAAAAATATGAATGGCAGTGAATGAGGAGAGAAATGTTATCTTTTGATCCCGTTTGAGTTGCGACATGAAATCCAAATATGTCGTTAATGAATTTAAAACATAAATTTTAAGGTCAAGAAAGTCATACTTTGTGGTAAAACTGTTGAGATATAAGCTTTTGAAAAAACGTAATTAGAAAAACTACACAAGAGGCGGTCGCGTATGTGACGTCATAGCTTTGGCTCGCTTCCTGCAGCTTGGAGTGACTGCAACCTGGCACAAAACACACAGACATCTTCAATCATAAATCGATTAATCATAAAACAGTGGAATTTCAGCGGGGAGGCCAAGCTGCAGGAAGCGAGCGAAAGCTATGACGTCACTAATAACGTTAGCTAATGTTAGCGAGCTGAGTGGCGACTAGCTCTGATTTGTGCTGCAATGGTGTGATGCATAACGTTATACGTTAAATTCACACGTTATTCCATGACTGACTGGTGAAACAAACTTCAACACAACAAAGGTTAAACAGAAAATAGCTATGTTTCCATCCAAAAGTGATTCGAATCATTGGGAAATGTTTCCATTAACATCAGGACAACCTGACATTTTAACATCTAGGGAACGTTTCAAAACATTTCCAGACCCCCAAAACAGGATCCTAGAATTTTTTGGGGACCAGATTTTGTTAGCTGGGTACTGGGGTCATTTCCTCTGTTTAGTTAATTAATTTTAGGTCCTTTCACAGAGTTTGTGGAAAACTTGCTGTGTTAACATCAAGGGAACTTTATGCAGGAATGTTCAAGTAACCTTCCTAGAACATTTGACTAACCTTCCCACAACATTCTGGAAATGTCACAATTACGTTAGGAACACCTGACATTTCAACATGTAGGGAACGTTGTGCTGGAACGTTCAATAAACACTCTCAGACCCCCAAAACAGGTTCCTATAATGTTTCGGGGACCAGATTGTGCTACATGTGTGCTCAGGTCTTTTGTCTCTGCTCTGTTAATTAAGTCATCGCTGTCACACAATTAAAACATGTCATGTCGACAGCAGCTGGTGGCTCAACCATAA